TTTTGCCCACTCCTGGTTTAGATTATGGTTGTATGAGATAGTTTTGATAGAGATGCTCCTGCCTCAGGCAGGGGGTTGGATTAGATGACCTCTGGAGGGCCCTTCCAGCCCTACTGCTCCATGGTTATGCCCCTCTTACTGATAACCTTAGCTGAAATATAAAGATACATCAAAATTACATTTACATAAAATACCATAGCAAATACCGATTGAACAATGGAACTGAACACAGATTTCATAGATTTCATAGACATTAGGGCTGGAAGGGACCTCGGAAGATCATCGAGTCCAGCCCCCTGCCCAAAGGGCAGGAAGTCAGCTGGGGTCATAGGATCCCAGCAAGATGAGCATCCAGTTTCATCTTGAAGGTGTTCAATGAAGGCGCTTGAACCACCTCCGGTGGCAGGCTGTTCCAGACCTTGGGGGCTCGGACAGTAAAGAAATTCTTCCTTATGTCCAGCCTGAAACGATCTTGAAGTAGTTTGTGACCATTTGACCTCGTCATCCCTTGGGGCGCTCTGGTGAACAAACGTTCCCCCAGATACTGGTGGTCACCCCTGATAAACTTGTAGGTGGCCCTCAGATCACCCCTGAGCCTGCGCTTTTCCAGGCTAAAGAGCCCCAGGGCTCTCAGCCTGTCATCGTAGGGGCTGCTTCCCTGACCTCTGATCATGCGCGTGGCTCTTCTCTGGACTCTCTCAAGATTCACCCTAGTTACAAGAAGAGACCAAACACCGCAATAACAACCTAATTTGGGAGAATATCCATGCTTGCTACACAGTGAAACCCCAAAGTAACTTTGTCTTGGGGTACCTCCATGACATTATCTTTTCTCAGTCTCCACCAAACACACTGACAGCCAAAAGGATAAGAAAGCTGATACAGACAAAGATGCCCAGGTAACATTCTATCTGCTCATCAACTTTTTTTTATAAGATCCTCCAGAATCTTTCATTTACCTTCCTGCTATTGCTTTTTGGCCCTTAGTCACAAAGAATGCTTCACTTCTAAAGTGGTTAGCTAAAGTTTAAAAGGTGAGCTTGGGAACAAAAATTTATAGGCTGGCTACACACAAAAAGAACCAGGACTGTACATTGATATTGATTTTATGACACACTATAATCTACCTGATTCTTGAATTTATTCCTACACACAACAGGTATTAATGACCCCCTTCCCTTTTGATCTTGATATCCCAGTCTTGATATTCCACTAATCAGCTTCTTTTCTTCTGCTAATTGTTTGTCTGCTACCCCTGGGAATTTCCCTCCCCAATCCATCTTCACATTTCTACTCTCAACTGTGTTTGCTTGCTTCCTTCCTTAGACCTCATGATTCATGAACAATATCTTACATTCAAAAGCTTATCTAACTTTGGGCGCACACAGAAGTGCCATTTTTCATGTGATCTGACCCCAAAAGTGCTCTACAGCCATGTCATAACACACATGCATGGCTGCAGAGCGCTTTTAAAATGGCCAATCATGTGAAAAAGTAGCCCTCGTTAAATCAGGTAGTAAAGAAAGGCACTCTAAATTAGAGCACCTTAGGGAACATGTATATAGCTTCCTATGAGGTTTACATGTCATGCCCCTGGTCTGTCACAGGGAGGAGGCAGAGAGTCTTCTCCTTGTGCAGCCAGCTGGTCTGCAGGGGAGGGAGAGCAGCTGGGCAGTGATCAGGAGTGGAGGTTTAGAGTCATAGATTCATAGGTGTCCCAGGGGCACAGGACCAGAAAAGGGGGAAGCCTCGTTCAGAGGCAAACCCCAGACCAAGGTAAAAGGAAAAGAAAACAACAACATACCTGTTGCAGGGGCTGGGAGGAGTGAGGAAACGTGTGGTGGGAAACCGCCCGCGCAGTGTATCAGCTATACCCATAGCCAGCTGGGGCCGGGTGACATCATGAAGAGACACCACCCGGTGGGGATAAAAAGAAGCCATGAAAGTGCGGGACGAGGGACACCGAGGACCAGAGGAGCACGCGAGGTGGAGGGCATCCAGCCGCTGCGATCTGCAGCAGCGGTGGCAGCCAGAGCCGTGGAGGATCCCTGAGCCGGGGAAGACCGGCAGGGGTCGGGAACGTCACCAGGGAGACCGGCAGAGGCAGCAGGAGCTGCGAGAGATCCACGTGCTGGAGGAGACCAACAGAGAATCAGCAGAACCACCGGAGAAGACAGCAGTGGCTACAGCGAGAGCCAGCGTGGGAGCTCCCTTCAGAGGCAACAGGTGCCATGGCTCCAGGGCAGAGGCGGGTCCTGGAGGAAGGGAGAGAGAGACCCCGGCTGGGGTGAAAGCACAGACCCCGACCCAGAGGGCACGCTAGCCTAGGGATGTTAGGAGTTAGGAGAGTACAGGACTCTCCCTGTGGGCTTTCCTCTTCCTTTTGTTCTCCCTGTTGTCTGCTCCCTTAGTAGTCGTATGGTTAGTTCATTAATTTGTTTCATGTCGGGTCACTACAGGGAAAGGGGCTATGGTGAAGGTATTGTTTGTGTTCCCCTCTTAGGGTTTGTCTATTTTAGTCCCCTGGAGAGAGTAGAGTGGTGGTGCCCTTAGTGCCAGGCTAGGGTAGCCGGGACGTCGCCCAAGGGTAAGAAGGAACCACGAGAAAACACAGTGAGGGCCAACGGCATCAGACATAGAAGGCCCAGGGCGCTGAAGAAGACAAACCCAAAGGCCGAGAGTCACCGAACCCTCCAGGTCCGGCCAGGGTCAAGGGCACTTGTCTACAGGAGGAGACACAGGGATCGGGGAGAATATCAGCAGAGGATTGCCGTGAAAGATTTGGAGGCCCATCTCAAAGGTTGGCGCGTGGCCGGGGTGTAGGGGAGGTTGGAGCCCCATGAACCCCCGCCGTGACATGTGACAGCTCTGGAGGCATCCTCAAAGGGGACCCCCTCCAATGAAGGGTCATTCAAAGTCGTGGCAGGAAAGTTTGGGGGTGACCCTGAAGGTAGCTGAGGAACCCTCTAAGGTCTGCACAAAGGCCCCTGGGGAGCAAGGTCAGCAGCTCGGGCAAAGGTGGCACAAGAGCGAACCATCATGAGGAGGCGGGCACAATAGGCACTAGAGCTGGAAGGGACCTTGGAAGATCATCGAGTCCAGCCCCCTGCCCCAGGGGCAGGAAGTCAGCAGGGATCATATGATCCCAGAAAGATAAATATCCAAATGTCTCTTGAAGGCATTCAAAGTAGGTGCTTGAACCACCTCCGGCAGCAGTCTATTCCAAACCCTGGGGGCTTGTACAGTAAAGAAGTTCTTCCTCATGTCCCGCCTGAAATGGTAATGGAGGAGTTTGTGACCATTCGACCTTGTCATCCCTTGGGGTGCTCTGGTGAACAAATATTCCCCCAGATCCTGGTGAGCACCCCTGATAAACCTATAGGTGGCCACCAGATCACCCCTGAGCCTGCGCTTTTTCAGGCTGAAGAGTCCCATGTCTCTCAGCCTCTCATCATAAGGTCCGTTTTCCTGACCTTTGATCATGCGCGTGGCTCTCCTCTGCACTCCCTCAAGCTTCTCCACATCCTTTTTGAATTGTGGAGCCCAAAACTGGATGCAGTACTCCAGTTGCGACCACACCAAGGCCGAGTACAACGGGAGAATGACATCCTGGGATTTGCTTTAGAAGCATCTATGGATGCAAGCCAGCGTTTTGCTTGCTTTACTAGCCGCAGCATCACATTGAAGGCTCATGTTCATCTTGTGGTCAATCATGACCCCCAAGTTCCCTTTCATCTGTAGTGCTAGCCAGCATAGCACTGCCAAGCCTATAAGCATGCTGCAGGTTTTTCCTCCCAAGATGGAGAACCTTGCATTTTCCGGTGTTAAACACCATCAGGTTCTCATCTGCCCATTTCCTGAGACTGTCAAGGTCTGCCTGGATCACCCTCCTATCCTCAGGTGTGGATGCCTTACCCCAGAGTTTGGTGTCATTGGCAAACTTGGCCAGTCTGCTTCTGACACCAATGTCTACATCATTAACGAAGATGTTAAATAGTATAGGCCCTAGGACAGAGCCTTGAGGGACCCCACTGGTCACAGCACACCACAACGATTGATTTCTGTCAATTACCACCCTCTGGGTCCTACCGCTGAGCCAATTCCTCAGCCAGTGGATCGAGGTGCAGCCAAGGCCCAGTTAGCCAGTTTTGCCAAGAGGTGATCATAGGATACCAGATTGAAGGCTTTTTTGAAGTCAAGATATATGACATCAATCTCTTCTCCCTTGTCCAGGTGATAGGTCACCTGGTCGTAAAAGGAAATGAGATTGGTCAAGCAAGGCCTACCCGCAACAAACCCATGCTGGCTATCCCTCAGGATGTTGCTGTCAGCCAGTCTGTTAAGGATGGCCTCTTTGATAATTTTTTCCAAGACCTTCCCCGGGATAGAGGTCAGGCTGATGGGCCTGTAGTTTGCTGGATCCACTTTCCTCCCTTTCTTGAAGACAGGCACCACAATGGCCTTCTTCCAATCTTTGGGCACTTCACCAGAGCACCAGTTGTCGAAGATCCGTGCCAGGGGCTGGGCTATGATGCTCGCCAGGTCCTTGAGTACCCTTGGGTGTAAGCTGTCAAGGCCAACTGACTTGAAGGTGTCCAGCCTCTCAAGGTGTTCCTTCACAAGGTCAGCACTGATGGAGGGTAAAGAATCTCCCTCACCCGGGCCTCCCTGTCCCATAGTGGGCAGGGGCGTCCCATGGGACTGGTGAAAAACCGACGCAAAGTACCCATTTAGCCAGTTGGCTTTATCCTGGGTGTCAGTTGTCAGTTGTCCCATCTGGGTTAGCAGGGGTCCAGCGTTACCCTTGCTTTTCCTCCGGCTCCCCACATATCTAAAAAAGGGCTTTTTATTGTCTTTGATATTTGTAGCTAGCTGAAGTTCAGTCGCAGCCTTGGCATTCCTTGTTCGCTCCCTGCAGGTCCGGACCAGCGCAGAGTATTCCTCCTTGGTGGTGGATCCAGTCCTCCATCCTTTGTAGGTATTTCTTTTAAGACGCGGGATGTCCACTAGTTCCCTGGAGAGCCAAGGGGGTTGCTGTGCTCTTTTGTAGGAGAGGGTCCCTGGTGCCCCAAAGCACCAGCAAGGAGGGGGCACAGTGCCCAAGCTGCCCTTAGGCTGCCCCCTCCCCCCCCGGGAATTAATTCTGGCTGACTTTTTGCAGCTAGCTGGCAAGTGGAGGGGGGCGGGTTAGGTGGGGATCAGGCTGGTTGGCTTCCACAACAGGCTACAGCAACCCGTGCCTCCTGGCCTCTGCCAGTACATGGAGGCACTCAGTTCCCACAATTCCCACCATCAAACGCCCAATGTCTGTTAGCTTTGATGATGCAGTAACTTTAAGCGCTTTATGTAATGCACAAAAAGTTACAGCGTGATAAATTCCAACAGTGCAGTTGGTCTAATAAAAAATATCACCCCCCAAAAATCCTTGCCTCTCATAATTCCTGGACCACTATGGCTACAACATCACTGTACCATAGATGCTTCTGTAAGATTTTCCCATTATCCTTGCATCTTCTGGCATTACGTGTCTCTGGTTGAAAAATATGGGATCCAAGTGGTTGCTCATAGTGCTCAGAGCAGCAGTGTCACTTACAAGCAACCATTTGTTCCTCTTGACAAAGTCACAATTTCCAATCTGATTCTTGCTCTGTGGCTTTGGACAAGTCACTTAACCTCTCTCCCCAGCGTTCACAATGTACACATGGGGAAAAGATACTTATTCTTCTCCCGCCAAGAAAGGATGAACTAATATTTATGCAGCAGTTTTTTGAAACTATAAGCCATTCTGTAAGTATGTCAATCATTGTGTTACAAGTGGCATCCCTGTTGGTGGTAACTGCTGAGCCACCAAGGAATAATGGGGATTGATTGAGACTGAACTGCTATTTCACTGTTCACAGTGGCCTTGCCACACACAAAGAATTTTGTCTGTGCTGTTCCTGTTGAGGTTCAGTGGTTTCAGAAGGTGCCAGTTTCTAACAACCAAAGCAGACTTTCTAAACACTGAATCAATGAGTGGTTTTGATTTCTAAAAACTGAGACCTATAGCCACAAAATCAAGCCTATCAGAACTAGGCTTTAGTGTATACAATGCAATTTCATTATGCATAATGAAGCTGTACACAGTTGCTCTAACTTCTACTGAAGTCTCACTAAAGAGAAATTGGATTGAGCTGCACCTGAGCGGTCATAAAAATCACTAAAGCTAAATAGGAAAATGGGCAGATATACATATATGAGCTGGCAGTTCCAACCTGATAAGAAAAAGTATGAAAATCTAAACATACTAATATATTCTGTAATTTTCCCCATTTATTTAAATTAAAATACTTTAAACTGGTTCTCCTGTCAATCCAGAAATGTGGGGTCAAAAGAGTTAAAGGTCCATCTGAGTCTAATTGGCCCACCGGGCTGAAATATGTAAGACAGGTTGGTTTCTTCAGCAGTGATTCTATACCTCCTTTCCAGAGTGCCAGTGAATGCCACACAATGTTAATACTGTTACACGTGCAAACACAGTTCACAACGTAAACCCAGACATTTGAAATAAGAATCCATAGTGGTAAAAACATTCTGACCCATTGTGGTCTTTCTGAGTTCTGTGCAACAGAAAAACTGTTCAATTATTTTTTCCATAGTTTAAAAAAAACAAGTGAAAACTAAGGGCTCCTATAGAGGTGTGTGGTGTCTGCTCTGACGCCCTGGAAATTCAGTGTGTTGGAGCAGACTCGATTAATCGATTAATTGAGCCTTCTGCGTCATGTGCATCAGCGTCCCCATGTCTCCATACTGAAAAAATGGTGGTGGGGTGCTTTGAAATAAAACACGTTGGGCTTTAGTTCAAAGAGCCACACCACCATTTTTTCAGTGCGGGGATGTGTGGGGATGCTGATACATGTGACACGCAGGCGCTTTTAATTAGTACAGCTTCCTAATTAGAGTGCCCAGGGCCGCCTGCCACAGTATATGTAAAAATGCCCTAAGATCCACCATTTTCTGAGGGATTCCTCAAGTCTGACGAGGGGTGTTGAGAACCACTATTCTACAGTCAACAGCACACAGGGGAGTGAAGTGGCCAGCATCACACCTGGCAACCTTTGACTCCCTTTGACTCCCCAAACTGGGTTTCTAGCTAGGTTGACTGGAGTTATCCTTTGGTGCAATATAGAGCAAAACTTAAACTCATGCCTCTGGAACACTATCAAGACACACCTTAACAGCTTTACCACCATAACTGGAAATCCCTCACAGTTGAGGATGATTGTCTTATCTGAGGACCCAAAGATGGCTGATGAGGCCTATCTGGGATCAACAGGCTGCAGCAACTTGGGTACATGTTTCTGTGCAGGCTGGGTGGCTGTGGATTCCTGATTTCAGTCCACACCATGCTGTTCCTGCTGCTCCCACTTCTCCATCTCCTGTTGTTGTCATAGGTTTCAAAGTACTGAGATCCCTGCAGCAGACTCTTTCTCCATTTGGGGCAGTCCTGGGCAATAGTCTCCCACTAGCTGATGTCAATGCAGCATTTTTTTCAAGTTGGCCTTAAAGACATCTTTGAAGTGCTTTATCTTCCCTCCTTTTAAGCATATACCTTGACTGAGCTGGGAGAATAAAGCTTGCTTCGGGAATATGGAGTCAGATATCTGGATGACGTGACTGGCCCAGTAAAGTTGATGTTGGATGATCATTGCCTTGATGAAGAAATCCCAGATGACCTTAGGGATGCCATCATCGTGACAATCTTCAAGAAAGGAGACAGGTCCAACTGTGGAAATTACAGAGAGATCATCTTTGTGGCTTAAAGGAAAAAGGAGCAATAGAAACTGAATTCTCACCCTCCTCCCCTGCAATTTCCCTTTTTTCATATTTCTAAATTTGAGAAGTGTCAAACAGCTTTTGGACACATCTACCCTGTGGTAGCAGTGTGTCCCAACAGAGATACTCTCAAGTACCTTTCGCCTAGCCATTTCCCCTTTGATGCTCCGAACTGGAAGCGCGCTGGTGAGGTCACTCTGGGATGTCCCTGCCAGGATCTGCCGCTGTTGCTGTGTAGAAATACCTTTTCAGATGAGAAAATGATAGGCTTCTTTCTAAATGCTCTACACACACCCAAATCAACTACATTAGAGGGAGAAGTTTCAAAAGAGCCTCAAAATTAATCCCAAATAATTCTCGCTCCTTTCAACCTGAAGACAGCTCTGCAAGGTACAAGGTACAGTTTCTCTTGTATACATTATGTTTAATAAACACAAATTTCATAGATGTTAGGGCTGGAAGGGACCTCACAAGATCATTGGGTCCAGCCCCCTGCCCAAAGGGCAGGAAGTCAGCTGGGGTCAGATGATGCAAGGTAAGAGTCCAGGTGTTTCTTGCTACAAGAAAGTTAGGGTTGTACAAACAACCGTATGTATGTGTAAATATTTAGCCCCCTCGTGTATGTGCTTTGTGATGCAGTCTTTATTTAGATAACTGCAAGCTAATTTTTGCTAGAGGTAACTTGCTTCACTTGGTGCTGCTCTTTCCCCCTCCGGTTTGGCAACTCTTCTTTTTCAAACAAACTGTTCCCTCTACCTCCTCCCCACTGCCTGGGTGCCAGCTGGGGGGGTCATTGACAGCAATGGCGAGTGGCCCCAAGTACAAGAAGAACTGTAAGAAAGAGGCTGCTACAGGTGGCAGCTGGGTAGATCACTTGCAAGGAAGGGCCTGCTCAGTCTGGGTCACCCTGGGCTGGGGCATGCTCGAGACTGGCTGTTGGATTGGCATGCTGAAGCTGGGAGGAGGCGGCGCACACTTGGTGCGGACTGAATCTTTGGAGAATTTAGGAGCCAGCTTGACATGAGTCTACTAAGCATGTATGAAGTGAGATTTCTTAGAGGTTCGCAGCTTGGTCGCATGATCCAATTTTCACAGGGACCACAGTGTCACATTCCTGACACCTGACCAGGGCCGGATTAACCCACAGGCAAACTAGGCACATGCTTAGGGCCCTGAGCTGGGCATGGGGTGGGGAAACTTTCCTTTCGCAGAGGCGGCACAAATGGCCTCATCTGCTCAGCAACATTTGTACAGGGAGGGAGGGTAATTCAGAGCTGCCTCTCCTTCCCCTCCCACCCCCATTACCCCAGGCCTGCAAAGAATTTAAGGGTGCGGTGAGGACCCGCTGGAGCTGTGCTCACCTCTCTCGCCTGGGGCTGCGGGGAGATGTGGGGAGTCCTCCAGGCCTGGGAGGAGAGGAACTCGGGGGGCTGCAAGCCAAGCCTGCGGCAGGGATGGGGTTGGGGAAGTGCT